GGATCATCATCAATACCAATATCTAGAAGTTATAAAAGTCCCGATATTAATTTAAATGAAAAAGTTAATGTTTGGATTAAAAAAAATGCAAGTTAAAATGATAATTAAATAAAATAAAATATATTTAAGTTATTTATAGACCTGATCCACAATCAAAGTTTTGATGATGACGATCAACAAACAACATTGATCGAGGGCTTAGTTGATGAAGCTAAAGATTATTTATTATTATCTCGAGAAAGATTAAATATGCAAGGATCAAGAACAAGATCAAGAAAATCAATTAAATCAAGCGAAATTCTTTTTGCTGGTTTGTTTATTTTTTTTATTTTTTAAAATTATTTTAATTAGTTTATTTTTTTTAATAAAAATAGCTGGTGGATGGTGTTCAAGTGATGCTATAGCAAGTGTCGAAATGTTTGATTCAACATCAAATGAATGGAGAGCTGTTGCATCTATGTCAAAACGAAGATGTGGGCTAGGAGTTGGTGTATTAAATAATTCCCTCTACTGAAAGGAGGGTATTACGTCGAAATGAGTTGGTTACGTTTGTTCGTCTGTGTGTGTGTGCGTTCGTTCGCGCAGAACCAGAAAAAGTTTCTTTGACCTCTCTGAACATAATGTTTTTTCATAAAGTTTGACCAAAGGTAATTCGGGGTCAGGGAACTCGAATCCGCGATTAGTTTTTTGAAATTTTGAGTTTTGACTTTTTTAGGACAAGGGAACACTTTTTTACCAAAAAAACTTTTTTTTTATAAAGTTTGACCAAAGATTGCACAGATTTATGTGCTCAACGATGCCGTATGTTTTCTTGATGTTGCTTTCGTTTCGTAGTTTGGGAATTGCGACTTTGTGCCACTCTAAAATGTCTTGTAATGGTTAGAAATCGTGTGTGGAAATGATCGTATATGTTTTTTGGTTTACTGCTGTTGCAATTTGCAGAGGGTGTGGGTGTGTGGTGTGGGTGTGGGTGTGAATATTCTTAAGGCCGCCCCCCTCCGAGAATCAATTTTTAAAAAAAAATTCAATTTTCGAGATAAACCTATGGTTGTTACCTCTAAGGTGTCTAGTTTTAAAATTCATGAAAGTCACTTCCAATTTCGAAAGGCTTCTTAAGAATAATCGATGAACTTCTAA